TCTCTCTCTCTCTCTCTCTCTCTCTCTCTCTCTCTCTCTCTCCCTCTCCCTCTCCCTCTCTCTCCATCCTTTTCTCACCAACGAGTCGTTGGAAAAATCCTCTCCATCTTCGTTCGCATCCCTTCGAATCTTTTCATCCTCGTTTTCTTTCTTTCTCTTTTTTTTTCTTTTTCTTTTTCGAATCAGACGAATCAGACGAGAGATGCCCCAGGCATCTGGAAGAGAAATAACACGCGCACGCGAACTAACTAATCGCGTGTCGTTCGCGAATGAGAGGAGGGGAAGGAGGAGAAGGAGGAGGAGGAGAGACGTGCGTCCGACTGAATTGGGAAACAAGTTTCCGCGGAACGATTATCGACTTCCGTTACGTCGAAACCGTGTCCCCCGATTCGCCGCCATCGCCATTATTCTCTCTCTCTCTCTCTCTCTTCCTTCGCGTTCCGCACGCCATCCTCGTTATCCGGATACGTAACCGTACGCGTGTTTGCCCCGTTTGAACGGAATCGAAAAAACGCGGTTGAAAAAAAACCCGAGTACGAGTCTCGTTTCCGCTCGAATCGGCCGCCATTACCACTTCGCAGCCGAGAGAGGAAGGGGGGGGGGAGGCTTTATCCCAAGTTTCGAAATGGAAAAATCCAATTTTTCTATACAGCGCGTATCAAATCGATCGTTCAGAGCGTTTATCGAAGGGAAGGAGTCCGAATTGTGATTGGCTTCGTTGTACGAGAAACATGGTTGCCACGAAATCAATCAGTTTTTTCGAGCCGGATTTTTCGTTCAGAATCACGTTCTAAAGTTCTAAATTTTTCGCGAGATAAAATATGCTACCACTTTTGGGGAGCTTGCTTTCGCCATGGATGAAAGTAGGATGTATATATATATATATATGTACTGTACGTATATATACGTATACTTTCTACCGGTGGAACGCACATCGAGAATGTTTCGCGCATCGACGAATTTCGNTATATATATATATAGGCGTACGTAGATAATACGTAAGACGACGTATATTTTCGTATTTCTTTTTTTAAATCCGAATGTTGTTCGCCGTAATAGCGTCGCCGGCTTTTTTAATTCGTTCCGTATAGCATTTCGCGTATAATACGCAAACGTCTTAACGGACTGTGGAAACAATCCCGTGCGAGCGTATAAATAGCCGATGACAATGCCGGGACAGAGAGATGAAACGCCAATAAGTGCCTTTCACTTTTCAAGAATGAAGACGACTTTATAGCACCGTGGTATATACAGTGAAACGCTATAAATAAACCCGCGTCGAGTCTCGCGCTTTTGTACAATTTTGTAACGCGGACAAACCGAGGCGAGGAAAGAAAAGAAACGGCGTTCGCGCGATTCAGCCCCGGACGCCGTACGCGGCGACGCAACAGCAACGCTCGAGCCGAGTGGAAAGGTGTTTAATTTATGCCTTCCGCGTATCCTTTGTTCCGCGGATGAATTCGACCGCTAATAAAAACCATCGGTTGGACATTTACGCATCGACGATTTCTCCCCGCTCCCCGAACCCCCTTTTTCTCGGAAT